CACGCCCACCCAGTCACATGGCCGGCAAGCCACTCCTACAAAGCAGGCCACACCTACAGAAGAGGTTCTAAAAAATTTTGAAACCCACCAGTGATTTATGGCCTATGCTTATCCCAAGGTGGAACTGCATGGTCCTTGGCTTGGCTTTTTCTATGAGCAATTCAGTAACATTTTAAGTGGTCTCAGAATTTTACTAACAGTTCAGTAGGGCCTGCTTCTGACTCTTTCATAAGCAATGAAAAAAAGTAAAATAGCTGATTGCTCTTGAAAGGCATATGGAGGGAGGGTGGGAGAGAAAGAAGGAGGGGGGGGAGGAAGGAAGGAAGAAGGGAGGGAGAGAAGGAAGGAGGGAAGGAAGAAAGAAGGGAGGGACGGACGGACGGACAGATGGAAGGAAGAAGGGAAGAAAGGAAGGGAGGGAATGAAGAAGGGAAGGAAGGAGGGAGAGAGAGATGGAAGGAGGGAAGGAAGGAAGAAAGAGAGGGAAGGAAGGGATGAGGAAGGGAAGGAGGAGATGGAGGGAAGGAACGAAGGAGGGAAGGAGGGAGGGAAGGTAGAGAGGGAAGAAAGGAAGAACAGAAGGAAGAGAGGGAAGAAGAGTTTAGAGTTTTTAGAGTTTTATTTCATTTGTATGCCGCAAGAAGGAACGAAGAAGGGAAGGGAGAGAGGATGAATCAGGACAAATATAATCTTGCTATTTCAGTAACTTGACATCATTTATTGTAATGATTTTACTTCTTTTAAAAATAATACTTTGAAACGAATCATTATAGGAAGCAAATGGCCTTTTCAGAGCTGAGCAGCCTCCAAGATCTGTGGAATTGGATTGGTTAGTGAAGTGCCTCAAGGCCTCTATTTGTTGAAGTTACAGGTTTCATTGGCAGGCAGAACAACAAAGTGATTGGTGAACCCTCATATGTAATCAACTTACGACGTCCACCTAGGTCTTTGGCTGAAGCAAGCTAAAGCTGGTTAAAATTAGGATGCGAGATACAGGATGAGATAACATAGTTTATATGTTAGGTTGTAAAATTCAAAAAATACCTTTGAAGCAAATGGTGCAAATCACTTTAATATTCTTGTTGAGGAACAAAATGGAAATCTCCTTCTTGCAGTGTTCTGTGTTCAGTTTTTGCTAATATTTGGTGTTTGTGCAGTTGTTGTTGTTAGTTGCAAAGTCGTGTCCGACCCATCGTGAGCCCATGGAGGACAACGTTCCTCCAGGCCTTCCTGTCATCTACCATCCTCTGGAGTCCATTTAGCAATAGCAATAGCAGTTAGACTTATATACCGCTTCATAGGGCTTTCAGCCCTCTCTAAGTGGTTTACAGAGTCAGCATATTGCCCCCAACAACAATCCGGGTCCTCATTTTACCCACCTCGGAAGGATGGAAGGCTGAGTCAACCCTGAGCCGGTGAGATTTGAACAGCCGAACTGCAGAACTGCAGTCAGCTGAAGTAGCCTGCAGTGCTGCATTTAACCACTGCGCCACCTCGGCTCTGTCATTTAAGCTCACGCCAACTGCTTCAGGGACTCCATCCAGCCACCTTATTCTCTGCCTTCCCCTTCTTTTTTTGCCCTCAATCCTTCCCAGCATGAGGCTCTTCTCCAGGGAGTCCTTCCTTCTCATTAGGTGGCCAAAGCATTTGAGTTTCATCTTCAGGATCTGGCCTTCTAAAGAGCAGCCAGGGTTGATCTCCTCTAGGACTGACCGGTTGGATGGCCTTGCAGTCCAAGGGACTCACAGGAGTCTTCTCCAGCACCATAGCTCAAAGGATTTGTGCAGTTGCCTCCCTGCAATGCCCTGATTTAATGTCATAGTTTAATGGGGGATCCTTCATATTTTGTAAAAGCAGAGAATATGCACCAACTTTCTTTTCAGGAAGAGACCCAAATGAATTATATACTGTACTTCTAGGCTCTGGGATACTGACCATTCTCATTTTTAGAAGTAAATATCTGAGCTGATAATGGAATTATTTTTTATTCTGCCAATTACAGTGCCGTTTTTAGTTCCAAATCACCACGAAGCTCAACAAAGCACCATTCTTTTTCTTCAAACATTTTGCCATCTATTAAGATGGATTAACATTCATCATGGTGTCTCTTTTTACTGCTTTTTAATGCCAGAGCAAAACATTTTATGCATCTGTACAAAATACATGCCTTTTAATAAAATGCATTAGTTGGAAAAGGTGCTATGAGTTTCTGACTTTTTGCTATCATAGACTAATTTAAGTCTCCTCCTACAATTATTTTCTCCGTATGACTTCTTAAATTACAGTATTTTTAGACTTGATGCAGTCTGGTTGCAAGCTGTTGAGAAGATGTTTATATTATCAATCTCCACTGTATTCTGTGAAGACAATTTTTATTCCTGTATCAGTGGTGGGTTTCAATTTTTTTTAGAACCTCTTCTGTAGGTGTGGCCTGCTTTGTGGGAGTGGTTTGCCGGCCATGTGACCAGGTGGGAGTGGCTTGTCGGCCATGTGACTCTGGCATTGAAACACGCAAGTCTTAAAGCTGTCAAGTTACAAGATCCTTGCACCCCTAACCCTTTGGGGAAAAAATCCCAGGGGTGTTCAAACTTGACAGCTTTAAGACTTGTGGACTTCAACTCCCAGAATTCCTCCTCTCACTCTTCATCTTGATGATGTGCGGTGGGCGGGGGGGAGGGAGCTGGAACCGGTTCTAAATGGCACTGTAGATTTGTGGAACCTCTTCTATAGAAGAGGTTAGAACTGGCAGGAACCCACCCATATCCTGTATGAATGTTTGACTTCCTGGTCTTTAATTTCCATTATGACAAACAGCATTCTTAATGGAAGCAAGTCTTAATGAATGGAGTAAGATTTATCTTAATTAAAAGGAACTAACAGTCATTCGTGGTTAATACAGCTTTTATCCTACTAAATCAGGGGTGTTGTCAATCCCCTGTGAAGAAGGGCCAGTAAGTGGAGTTGAGATATGAAAGCATTTTGGAGGTTTGTGTTTTCTCTGCTGTTCTTTCTTGCCATGTTTTTAAACCATGTAAATTAAACTCTTCCAGCCAAGGAAAAATCCGTTTAATGACTCAACTGGACCAGAAGAGAATGTAAAAACTGAGCAGCCTGAGAATGGAATGACTGATTCATCGGAAGCAACAGAGGAAGGTGAATATTTTTTTAAAAGAAAAATAAGCTGCACAGTTTCTGCAGAATAATCGAAACCTTGAACAAATATTGCAATATGTTTTGGTGTCATATAAATGAGAGCTACGTTGCAAAGTTGTTTTAGCACAAGTACTGTGTGGAATTGGGGTGGGGTTTGCAGATAAGGGGCAAAATTGCGCAGCACAAAATTATATTAAGACAGCTTAATATAATTTTATTTATTGTTATTTATTCAGTGCTTTTCTTTTCCAATGCTAATACTTAAGTTCTCAACTTAAGACTGTCATTTAGCAGATATTTGAACTTACAACGCACTTCGCAGAGCTATTTACGACCTGGATTTGAAGTTCTGATGGGGACGGATGGACACACGCACACATGCACACACGCATGCACAAACACACACAATTTCCCCTCCCATCCCCCACCCCAACCTGATTGCATTTTGGGTGTCAGCATCTGGCCCACATTTAGGCCCGTTTTCAGCATCTTGCAATCACGTCATAACTGTAGTTGACAATGTATCTTTCCAGGAACTGGAATTCGTTTCTGGTTTCCAGCAAAAATGCCTGTTGTGGACGATGGATTTGCTTAATGACTGCCACATTCATTTAACAACCATGACATTTGCTTAACGACTGCCACAAAATAGGTTGTAAAATCTGGCACAGTGACGGGCGTGGTGTCCAGTAAAATGACCAGCACAACTTAATAACCATAATTCCAGGTTCACTTATGGTTGTTAATTGGAGCTTTACGCTTACCAGAATTGTTTCAAAATGTTGATTGTACAGTATTGTTGGAATAGAGTAGTTGCTTATCCATATATTGGATATAGGATCTCCTCCTCCTCTTCTCCTTCACCTCTTCTCCTTCTTCTTTTCTCTTCCTTCTCTTCTCTTCCTTCTCTTCTCCTTTTCTCCTCCTCCTCCCCTTCTCTTCCTCCTCCTCTTTTCCCCCTCCTCCTCCTCCTTTTCTCCTCCTCTTCTCCTTCTCTTTTTCTCCTCCTCTTCCTCCTCCTCTCCTCCTCCTCCTCTCCTCCTCCTTTTCTCCTCCTCCTCCTCCTCTTCTCCTTCTCCTTTTCTCTTCTTCTTCCTCCTCTTTTCCTTTTCTCCTCCTCCTCTTCTCCTCTTTGCCTCTCTGACCTTAATCTGAGGCCTAGCGATAGCATGCAGAAAAACCAGATAAGTGGACTTGGATTGTAGTGAAGAAGTCACTTGTGGAAATGTTCACCTGCATTTGGAAAAAACTAGCAAAATAAATAATAGCTTGGCCTATTTTCTGTGATTTTGCTGGGTGTACGCAGTTACTAAAACCATCACTTTTATAACTACCTCTCTCTTTTACTACGTAAGAAAGAAAAATAATTCTGGTTTTACTATTCCTGTAGAATAAGGTTAAGTCTTAAGCGATATGACTTTGCACCCTTAGAATAAGCATGTTAGCACCAATTCTTTTCCAGACCTATCATAATGCATGGCTAGCTAGGGAATTCTGGGAGTTGAAGTTCACACGTTTTGAAGTGGCCAAAAGGTTCTTATCTGCAGTTTGCTTATAAACCTTTCATTGTATGTGTGTTTCTCTCTCTCTCTCTCACTCCCTCCCTCCCCCTCTCTCCCTTCCTCTCCCTCCTTCCCCCTCTCTCCCACCATTTTTCTCTCTCCCTCTCTTTTTCTCCTTCCCTCTCCCTCTCTCCCTCCCTCTCCCTCCCCCTCTTTCTCTCTCCTCCCTCTCTCCCTCCCTCTCCCTCTCCCACCATTTATCTCTCTCCCCCTCTCTCTTTCTCTCCTTCCCTCTCCCTCTCTCGCTCCCCTTCTCTGTCCCTCTCTTTCTCTCTCCCCCTCCCTCTCTCTCCTTCCCTCTCCCTTCCTCCCCCTCTCCCTTTTGTCTCCCTCCCTCTCTCTTTCTCTCTCTCTCTCCCCCCTCTCCCTCCCCCTCTCTTCCTTTCTCTCCCTCCTTCCCCCTCTCTCCCACCATTTCTCTCTCTCCCTCCCCCTCTTTTTCCTTCCCTCTCCCTCTCTCCCTCCCTCTCCCTCCCCCTCCCTCTCTTTCTTCCCCCCTCTCTCCCTCCCTCTCCCTCTCCCACCATTTATTTCTCTCCCCCTCTCTGTTTCTCTCCTTCCCTCTCCCTCTCGCTCCCCTTCTCCGTCCCTCTCTTTGTCTCTCCCCCTCTCCTTCCCTCTCCCTTCCTCCCCCTCTCCCTTTTGTCTCCCTCCCTCTCTCTTTCTCTCTCTCTCTCCCCCCTCTCCCTCCCTCTCTCCCTCCATCTCTCCCCCCTCTCTCTTTCTGTGTGTATGTGCCTTGCTTTGCAGTCACTCTTTCACCTTCCATAGAAAACCAGCCCAGAGTAAATTTATCGAACTTCAGCAGAAGAGAAGCACCTGAACAACCTTCTTCGGAATTTAGGCAGACAGGAAAACTGCCTGTACCAAAAACTAGGAAGAATGTCCACAAGACCTCTGATCTCAGCTTGCAGAGTAACGATTCCTTACCCAGAACACCTAGAAGGACCAAGCAGGCCAACGGCCAAGGAAGGCCGCCCAAGAGCATCCTCAAACGAAGCTCCAGTTCAAGTTCCACGGATTCTGAAGTGTTGCGTCTCAGTCAAACCTTGGAGCCACCTAACAAAAGTGGGTTGCCAAACTCCACCATCCTTGAAGACGTTGCAGAGAAGAGCCCTCCCCCAGGAGAGGACAATCCTCAAAACTCACTGGAAATGCTAAAGCAGGTCAGGTTCTCCTCCAGCGTAAAGAAGAATGAATGTCCACCAAAACTCGAGTTGCATGAGGGCAAAGAGCTCGGGGAGTTCAATTTGTTAGACACCAACTCTGTTAAGGCCAACGAGAATGAAGTCAACTATTTAGACAGTCCACCTTCTCCAGCAAAGCCAGCAAAGTCCTGTTCTCCGGCTTTAGATGGTAACGTGAAGGATGGGCAAGGATCTCAAGAAGGAGAAATGCCTTCAAGTTCCTACAGCTTTAATGACTCAGATCTTCCATCGTTGGTGAAAAGTCCTCCCACAGCAGCTACACTTCAAGGGGAACCATCCAGGAAGATGGTCCCTAACACCATGGACAATGAAACGGTTCCACTTGTGTCTCAGTCCAAAATTAAGCAGCTGAATCCTGAGCCAAGGGACACCACACAACCCAGCGCTGGTAAGAAATATAACGAAAGCCAATGAGATAGCATCTAGTCAAGTGGTCAGTCACCCTTGTTTCAGCCTATCTTCAGTCTTGTTTTTAAGAGTACGATAGTACAGGTAGTCCTCGATTTACAACCATTCATTTAGTGACCACTCAAAGCACTGGTGGGTTCCGGATCCTGCTCCAGCTGCTCGGTGGAGCGTCGCACAGGTGGCGTATGCACCAAAGGCTTAAAGGACAGGTAAGGAGCTCGGGTGGGTAGGTGGGCCCTCTGGAGCACCGTACCGGAAAGGTATCCGGTGCTCCGGGCAGGCTCCAGTACGCCTGTACTGGGACGTACCGCCTGCAACCCACCACTGGCTCAAAGTTACATGACTTTTTTTCACACTTGCCATATTTTTCGGACTATAAGATGCACTGGAGTATAAGATGCACCATGATTTTGAAGAGGTAAATTGAAAAAAAAAACATGTTTGCACTCTACGGGCCTCCCAAACCCTCTGCATGCCTGTTTTTTTTTTTGCAAAAAAAGGGGGGGCATGCAGTGTTTTGGGAGGCTTGTAGAGTGCTCCTGGGGGCTGGAGGGGGAGGGCAAAAATGAGCAAAAACATCCCGTTTTTTGCTCATTTTTGCCCTCCGCAGCCCCCAGGAGCACTTTGCAAGCTTCCCAAACGCTGTGCACATCCATTTTTGCAAACGGTGCAGGGTTTTGGTAGGCCAAAAGTGCTGTATTCAGTGTATAAGACGCACCCAGATTTTCACCCTCTTTTTTGGGGGGAAAAAGGTGTGTCTTATACTCCGAAAAATACGGTAGGACCATTGCAGCCTCCCCGTTACCATGTGATCAAAATTTGGATATATATACAGAATATTATAATATTTTCTTGTATACAGAAATGTCCTTCTAATCTGCATTTAACCACTGCGCCACCTCGGCTCTTGTGCAGTTGGACATCTCGGTAATAATTAAACTACCAATTTAAATGATTGGCTGATGTAAAATCCTATAACTCGGACAACACATTTTAAAATTAGCTTTAAAAATACAAGTATTTTAGCTGTCAGGCAATGTTTTGGGAAGTATTTAATAGACTGGAAAACTGCCATCAAAAATGGCCCCTTTTCTAATTCAAAATACATCTAAAAATGAAATACATTTTTTTTTAAAGGTATATAGCAGAGGTCGGGAACTATGGCCCTTTTATGACTGTGGACTTTAACTCCCAGAATTCCTGAGCCAACATGGCGGGCTCAGGAATTCTGGGAGTTGAAGTCCACAAGTCATAAGAACGCCATAATTCCCCACCCCTGGTATATAGTCAGGCCGATCTAGGCAGTTGGAAATCAAGTGATACCATTAATTTGGGAGGCTATAAATTCCCCCCCCCTCTCCCCCGTTTCTCAAGAAATATTGTCTGTGTCTCTTGTAGGCCCGGAGTTACGTTTGGCTGAAGCAGAGGAAGCCATGTTGCCAAAACCTGGCCTTGCAGGCCCTGAACAAGGTAAGCCTGCTCTTGTTGTGGATCACAGTGTTGACAAATATGCTGCTGAAAATTTGAAGGCCACCGATGAATCCATATCCAAAGTGCTAGACTGGTTCAAAAGAAGTTCCAGTACGGCTGACAAAGAAACAGTTTTGATAACCTCTCAGGAAAGGCCATTCGCAGAGGAAATGAACCCTCCAAAGTCAGTAGAATGGTCTGCAGTTGGAGAAGATAAGGGGTCAAATTCAGATCCGTTAAATCTGAAATCCTCTCTGTATCAAAGAGGAGAGTCGACGAGCAGAGACTTAAGGCTCCAGGATGTCACAAAGCAACCGGGACAATTATCATTTTCGGAAAAAGAAAGTCCAAGGGATGAGATCCTAGGAGACCACGCTCCTTTGAACCAAAGCGAAGAAAACAAGAAGGCAACTCCTCGCAATATTCATATCACTAAGAGAATCCATTTCCAGACCATTGATCAGAGTAAGGACAAGATGGATGACAGCAACCTAGAAGACAGATGTGAAGATGCTTTTGGAAGTAAAACCTACGTGGATTTGAAGAACTCTGAAGACGCTTCTTTCCGAACTGGGATGAAAAGAGAAACCAGTTCACAGATCTACCCTGAGGGAGAGAGAGATGTTAAATCTTTCTTGGAAGAAGAAAACATGGAGCTGAAATCTGGAGAAACTCCAAAAGATCCTAAAGGAAAGGACTGTAGTTTTCTAGATGGCGAACATATGGCCCATGCCAACAATAGAAGTAACCCGATTCTGCGACAACATGAGTTAACACAACCACCAATGATAGGAGATGAGAAAAGAGTCAAGGATATGAAGGCTTTCTGGGAAGGTGGGCAGAAGACTCCAGAGCTCGAAAATAAGGAAGTTCTTACAAATGAAAACATGTCTAATTATACAAAGGAATACGCTAGGCTAAAAGCAGCTAGCGGATCTTCTGGGTATGTAACCAGTGAATCTGACCATGAACAAAGCAAATATAATTTAGTTACCTTCAGAAAAGTGGAGCTAAGTGAGGAGGACTCTGAGATGGAAGGCGATGGCATTCAGTTTTCAGGAACAAGCAGGCCCACTCAAGGGGATAAAGCTACGGAAAGCCAAGACACTAATAGAGCCAATGAAGTACTTTCAAAGGACCAGAAAAATACTAACGTTACGGGATTGTTGAATGAGAGAAATTTGCAGCCGAGTTACAAAGAAAGGGTATCTTCTAAAGAAGGTGAAAGGCCTTCTGCTTTAGGAAGAGGGACTATTGTACCCGCTCTTCAGCCAAAGGCTCCTTTTAAGATTCATTCACTGAAAGAAAAAATGGACGAAGAATCCAGGTCTCAAATGCTCAACCCTTCCCAATTCCAGAGCCTGAGAAACTTTTGGGACATGGGGACTAAACCTCAGAGCAAAACTGACGAGACCATCCCACAGAAGCATAAGAGCAGCACGGGGGGTTACACGAAAGAGTTACAAGAAAGAATTGGAAGTAGCCAAGCCATGTTGGATGATGGAAGATCTCATTTTCCTCTGCAAGAGGAGGAAACAAAACAGCCCACTGCTAACATTTCACGCCAAAGTCCTTTAGCAGAACCCATGTTTTCCCCGTCAGCAGCTGCAGTACCCATGCATTTAGATGATGTCCCAATAAGGGGACACGCAGGAATAGAAATGGTTTCACCAGCAATACAGCATAATGTTCACAGTAGTTTTCAACCAACGGTGTTGGTTGAAGAGTTGCAGGAGTCCTCTTGCCCACCAATACATAAGAAAGGGATTCCATATGTAGAGTTAGTAGGAAAGGATCCAATGGCTCCCAATGACCAGATTCAAGAACCTAGTTTTGTCCTTCCGGACACGAATGGAAAATCTGGACTTAAAGCAAGTGAGGTCATAGAGATTGTAAATAGGACTTCGGTCCCACCGAAAGCTGCAGCCGCTGATGCTTTTAATACGAGTTTGGAGAAGTTGCTTCAGGAAACCTCTGGTCTACAGGCCTCTCTCAGGCATCATTTAATAATGGATGTCTCTGAACCAGCAGATCCTACATCAGAGAAAAGGGATTTCTTTAATAAGGTGATGGAGCGCAGCCATCATTCTTATCCCAGTGATCCAGAAGAGATTCGAGTGGGTTCTCAAACAGAAGGAACTGTTGAAAAACGCGACTTGCTCCAAACTCAGCCTGCAGAATTCACAACCGGCGTGGGAAGTTTGCCTAGATCACTGGAAGGATTAACATCTGTGCCAATGAAAGTCCCCAAGAAAGAGGATAGGCAAATGTATTTAAATGATAATCCTGCTTGGGAAAAGAACTTGCCGGTTCCATCACTAGAGCCGATACAACCTGATATCTGTGGTGCATCTCAGAACAGAACAGACTGTCCTCAAGAGGAAGTTTTTGAGATGGTATCCAAAAATAATGTCCCACCAAACAGAGAATGCAGCGATTTGAACGCCAAACTCATCAGTCTGTTGAAAGAATCGGCAACACGGCCCAGTACTGAGGACATTTTGGAAACCCCTTTTGATGGTATTCCTAAAGAGAATCAACAAAAGTCCTATCAACAGACGAATGAAAAGAAAGGCTTTGCTTCACTCCAAACGTCCAGTCATTTGAGAGAGTCTGCGGGTGAGATTGTTGCGGGAAGCAAAGATACATACAAAGACGACAGTGTGAAGATTGTCATGCAAGATGGCACAACGGAAGCCACTAAAGAGTATGCAGATCATAAGGAGAGAATCCAGGGAGAATTAGCTGGGAAGCAGCCTCTGGACGAGACGGAAACTGCGGTGAAAAGTGTTAAACCCAAATCTTGCGATCCTGCAGCACTTAGAGGCAATCTAAAACAAATACTTCACGAGGATTCAATGGTGTTACTTGGAGACCTAGAATTTCCTAAACTTACACAATCCACATTACAGCCTGATCCGTCTGTGAGTTCAGTTTCTGCCAAAGATACATTGGATTGTCAGGAAGTCATTGAATCAGTAGAAAAGTCTATTGTTCCTCCTAATTCTAGACAGGTTGAATTCAAAGCCCGTTTCCAAACGTTACTCCAGGAAAACTCTGAAATTTTATCACGTAGCCAGGAAATCACAGAGAGCAGCAATGAGATGCAAATAATCAAAAAGCCTACTGAGAACAGAGGCTTTATCAGTCGACAAGAAACAGACTGTGTTCAAGAAGTCAATGAAACTGCAAACAAGATTAGCGCACCCTCCAGATTTCAACAAAGTGAGTTTAATTCCAGTTTACAGAAATTACTTAAGGAAGCTGCTCAAGAAGAAACCATCGTGAAATTGGTTGCTCCAGCAAAAGATAACTGGGCATTAAAATCAAATTTAGAAAAATTAATTTTGGAACATTTCGATCCTGCTTCTCAGCCACCCACAGTCGATGGCAAGGAATTCACCGGTGATTCAACACCTGATTTAGGTGAACAAAGGTTACGTGTAGAAATGTCAACATTGACGGAGACGGTGTCGAGTGATTACCATAGCGAACTTAAGATCCCACTTACCGAGAAGGCCTCCAAGCCAACTGACGAAAGAGCAAAGATTTCAGAGAACATGGCTTTCCAAAAAATAATCCATCTTAATCTAGCCTCTTCAGAAACCCAGTGTCTGGAAAAAGATAAGGATTTCCCTTCCACAGCCGATAAGACAGAGGACAGAAGCATGGAAGAGGGAGAAACAGAGTTTTCCACTTCATTAATTGTTGCCAACAGAAGCCTGATGGTGGACCATGGATTGCAAAGATCAAGCACCCCCGTCTATGGAAGCCCTCTCCAAACCAAGGAAGTGGAGTTTCATCACGCTGCCCCTCCAACTGATGATGACAACCATGATGGTGTTGATGATGATGAAGGTGCCAAGAATTGTGAGTCAGAGTTTTCAGACGAAAATAAATCCATTCCGGGAAGCCAAAGAGATCCAATATGTGAGCATTTAAAAATTATTTCATTCTTATCTCGGTCTGTTTTATAAAGATTGTTAGATTGATTTTTCATAAAACCAAACTTCCTCCTGTTGGGTGGAATTTAGAAGCACCATGCCTTCAATCTGGAAGCAGCTTTGAGATCTCAGGGTTAATTGTCCCAAAGGTGCTTTTTCAAACGGGAACTAGACTTCGTTTTTCCTTGATGTTTCGCTGTTCATCCCTAAAGCTTCTTCAGTTCTGAGAAAGATTGTTTTTTTGTCCCCTAAAGCAAAGATGTCCAGATTTATGATTCAGGAAGGCATAGTTACCTTCATCGGGATTTAAATGGAAGTACATTTTGCTCTGAACTGAGAAATTCAGAAATTCTGTATTTTTTTTCAGTAGCTCCAGAACATCGGGCAAAAAATCTGTACAGTAATCTAATTTATGATGACTTCCTATCTTCCTGCTGTCCAATCAGTTAGAAGTCAGGAATGGTAGGATACATTCTGGATAATTAAAAAATAATAATTTCTTTATGCCTGACAGTTTGGATCATCCTCCTGCAAGATTTATTTCTTGCCTTAGTGTGACAAGGAGACATAATCAATATTGTAGATAGCCCCTTCCCTTTGCCAGCACAAATTGATGGGAATTCTAAATAGTCACTTTTTCAAAGTTCATTTTAGCCCCTCAATTTAGCAAATTAAGGCAACTTCACAAGTGGTAGATAATACAATACAATACAATAGCAGAGTTGGAAGGGACCTTGGAGGTCTTCTAGTCCAACCCCCTGCCTAGGGAGGAAACCCTATACTGTTTCAGGCAAATGGCTATCCAACATCTTCTTAAAGACTTCCATTATTGGGGCATTCACAACTTCTGGAGGCAAGTTGTCCCACTGATTAATTGTTATAACTGTCAGGAAATTTCTCCTCAGTTCTAAGTCTGTGCTTCTCTCCTTGATTAGTTTCCACCCATTGCTTCTTGTTCTACCCTCAGGTGCCTTGGAAAATAGTTTGCCTTCCTCTTCTTTATGGCAACCCCTGAGATATTGGAACTCTTCTATCATGTCTCCCCTAGTCCTTCTTTTCATTAA